TACAACAGCGAATTGATGTACTCAGGTCATACTTGATCACTGATTTCAACTGTACGAGGATGGCTAAGCTCCAAATGTTCTAACTTCTGGATTCCTCTGTACAATCAAGATCCGGATGTTAACACTTTTTTGACCTCAAAGCTACTCCATCTCGGTGTTACATGTTCAACTTACCTTTTAACAATATTTTTCCTTGAACAGCATGTTCACTAAGTAAGATATGAAGCTTTACATGGTGGAAGTTACATGAGCTATAGGTTTGCTTCAGAGGAAGTGTGGTTTTGAGAAGAACCAGTGAGTATCAAATCAACCTTTCCGCCAGGACCCGCTGGCCATCCACAGGAGAGTGTGCCGGAGTCGAGTAGACAGTTGGGTTATAAAGGAAGACAGTTCCTGATGGGGACTTTGAGTTCTGCGTTGTCCCATTTGAACATGTAAAGGCTGGTTGATACCACCGGTGAATGTGGAAGCAAATTTGATGTCATGAAAGATTTCCAGCAGTTGAAATGTGTTCAAATTTAGCAAATTTGTAGTGGGAATATTTGATCTGACATCACAAATTCACATTTGTGTTCATTTTCAGGCTAAGTATGACCTCGCCTTAATTCATTATGCCTGAGAATTGCCATCACTAATTGACGTAATCCCGCTTGCAGAAGATATTAATTTGAGTTTTAACATACCAGGGATGAGGTACAGATACACCTAAATACAACTTAAATTCTTTTCAACAATTACTCCTCTTCATCCTGAAATGTTCAATTGCATTTGTGACTGAGATCCAACAAAATGAGTCTCACTTACTCTGTTTTCGTTCGCACCACAAGCTGAGCTTTTTGTTTTGATGTATTATTCAGTTTGGCATCCTGATAAGAGAGCACATTATATGGGTAACATGTTTAGGGATCTTCCATGATCTAGTGTTAATGTTTTTATGGAAAGCCATTTGAATAAAATGTGATGTACATGTAAGCTTTGTCATTTTGGTCCATGTCAACTTCAAACTGATCAGGACACTGTCCTTTTCTCCAAACTGTTTAATACATGATTCTAGATAATCTAGATTCATGTTAAAGACAACCTAGAATCATAAATGTAATATGTCTAAAAAACAAGAGTGTGACCTTTATAATTGCAAGTTTATATGCAATAACAATGTAAATGAGTTTTGCAGATCGCATCACATATGTGTATTATAGACTTTGTGCTCGTACACTGTAAGTCAACAAATTATTATAATTATTACACTGTGCAGCATTATTTTTAATTTGAAAGTACTCGGAGCTCTGATGACTTGTGACTCATTTTTTTTGTTGCACTAATTAAATGTGTTAAGTTGATCAACATGCTACTGTAGGTGGAACTGTTCCTTTTTGTAACCAGGTGGTTAATTTCACTGGGGTTTCACTAACCCTAATAGTCTTGAGTCCTTAATCCAACAGGTGAAGATTGAGGGGTGTTAAGGTTAAGCATTAAAAACTGCCTTCCCTAAACTTTCCAAGAACTCTTGCAGAAATGTTCACAAAATAATGTCACATTAAGCTTCATAGGTCAAGGGAACTGCTACTTTATTGAAAGGGGTTTTGGCCTTTTGGAACAAAATATTTGGTTGAAAACATTTTGTATGCTGGAAATTTGGATTAGCTTATGGATGAAAATTCAGTGGGTATTGAAAACTGTGTATTCTTAAATACAGCAGTGCAATGACTAAGACAGGTAAATGGAATTGACGATGCCTTAAAGGACACTGTTAAATTCTGCTGCAAAGACACCTTGTCACTCGTGCTATTCCACAAACTTGGCCCTTGCATATATGAGTCATTCCATGACGTTGGATAGATACACAAAGTTGGACACATGTATGGATAAGACACAAGTGATCCCTGATCTGGTTTATAAATCTTCCCACTGTTCTAGAGTGTTTCAGAGCATTTGGAAGTTTTCAAGCCGACATGTTTCACGAAACACTGGTTGTAGATGCAACACGTACGGACACCAAAATATTGCCATCAGTTTAGTTGCTAATTTTATCTTCACAGTGCTCAGAACATTCTAGAACAGCTGGTTGAGTTATGTGCATTACCAACATTGCATGTAACACGTTTTTTACCATGTATCCAATTGTCACACAATTTGACCCACCTTCATGGAAAGACCCATACACAGCGGAATGTGGCTCTAACAAGCACTGCTGAACTGAACATTTGGGAATACTGAACATCTCCCCTTGGCTTCTGAATTTTTAGTGCACTTTTACTGAACATTACAAATTGTTTTGAATAAAAAGGAACCTATTCAGATAACTGATAATAACTCACCGTTGAGGAAAATCACACTGTCGATGGAACAACAGCCAACATGTAGTGTGGTCTGTATCATTCATGGGTAGCCTGAGTTACATGCCATGTGTGTCCGCTGGCAGCCATGTAGACTGCCTGCTGGGTATGTATATGCAACACTGGCGACTCTGATACACAAAGCTTACATGATGATTGCTACAAATCTGGTAAATTTGAGCTCAAAAACCACCAAAACAGGAAATAACTGTGCAGATGGACACTAACATTTGTTACTTGATGCCCAGAAATTTTTGATAAATGTCTTACTAATTTCAATTGTTTTCAAAATGCTTGCCTGACAATTTGTTGGTCTTCAGCAGTGCTAGTGTATTAGAATGGTTCCTGGTATGGCCCATTTATTAAAGTGTTATTTCACCAACAGAAACCAGTATAACCTACGTGTGACATGCAATTTTTAAGCGATTACTTGAGGAAAGCTTTATTTCATTTTGTGATTCAACTTCCGGTGAGGACTACCTGAAAGGTGAAAAATGAACGGAGATACTTTAGACAATGCAGAGATTTCAATATTTTTTATTCTTACCTTTTTTTGCATGTAAATTTGGGCCTGAAATCCTCATACCAAACATTTTGTGGGGCAGGCTGGCAAATGTTTGTATGTGGGCCTGAGTTTGGAATGGGTACACGCACCCGTGACTGAAAATCGCTATATCAAACAACTGTATATTCTGTGTGGACCCCATTGTGTTTATGATAGCAGTGTTCCACTGTACCTCGAGTATTATACTACAGCAATGCAATATTTAAATGAAGTTTACTCAAACTCTCTTGTCTTCTGTCCACCTGCTGTGATCAATATCACTGACTGTGACTTTATAGAGTCGACAGAGGTGATCTAGTAAACATCACGCAACCCCTAATGCAACCACATGTGCGTGTGCCACAGGATCATGAAGCACAGCTAAAACTGGCTTATATGATAACTGTCCGATTACTCATTCAATATCTTATGAATAAGAAAGGCCCTATGACTCTTAGACAGAGGACAGCAGGTTATAGACAAAGATCACTCACAGTGATGAAGGATAACAAACCTGCAGGAATCTTTGATTAATTCTTGATTTTTTTTACAAGTTGCAGTTGGGTTTTAAGGGTAGACAGTGTGCTCATTTTTGGGGTTGTTTTGGTTTTATTAGATTTTTAAGAACTGATGATCTACTGTACAAGTACAGTGCTGCAAACAATATCAACAAAATACTTGACAGTTTTCCGAGAAAGATTTGTCAAGTTACCATTGCTTATCTTTTATGTGTAGCACATACATGTAAATGTAC